CGTGTAGTGTACTTGGGCGGCAGGTCGACAAGTCTGGGAGGAGCAGGCGACCCGGCCTCGGAGGTGGAGTCTAGCGTTACGCTTCGCGAGATGGGCGGCCTCATGGCCTTTTGGCGATGCAGCTCGTTCGCCTTTTGGATGTTGATGGTGAACGGCTGTGGCTTTGCAGGGGGAGGCGGAGGGGGCCCGTTTTTCAGGAACTCGGCCAGACTCTCTTCCTTGGGCTTAGCCACATCGCGAACGTCGTCGTATTCGTCTTCGCTATCCCAATCAATGGCGTACGGGTCTCTGACTCGGCGGCGTGTTTTGGCGGGCGTTGCCGAACCATCGCCTCGAATGTTCGGCGTTGGAGAGAGCCGGTACTGGAGCGTTCGGCTGTTGGGCCGGGTGCTGGAGTCGATTAGCGCGGTGTGAGAGTTGACGGAGGCGACTGATGCAGCGACCATGGAGCCGTCCTGAGTGCCGGGCATTGAGCTATCGCCGATGGTGAAGTCACGCTCGCTGCGGATTATGTGGCTGAAGGAGCTGAAATCGTCTGAGTTCATGGTATTCCTGAATGGAGCGACGGTTTTCTGCTGCAGACGACGAGCTTGAGGATCAGGAGGCCCCTGACGGATGAAGTCGATCAGTTCGGAGGTCTTGTTATCTCTGACAAAAACTGCCGGACGAGCTTCGAGACGAGGCCGGTTTGGGTTGGTTGCTCGTGGGGTGGAGGTGATGTTGGAGGTATTATTATTATTATCTTTCGTCGAGGCCTTTGGCGTGGCGAGGGGGCTGATTGAGTAGGTTCCTGTTGTTGCAGGAGAGTTGGGGACGGAATTGTTGCCAGCGCGAGCAATGCTATTAAATTGGGCGGCGGGTGGGTGTAACCCCTTATCAGGTCCTGTGGAACGAATGAAGTTGGCGAAGTCTCTGACAGATGCGTTTTCGACTCTGGCATCGCGAGCTTGTGGAGCGGCCATCTTAGGCTTTGGCGGCGGCGGGCTAGGGGGGTTTCGAGCAAGCGGAGACTGAGGCACAGGGGATGAGATCGAAGGGGAGCGGAAGGTCGGCGACAGGATCCTGCGGCTCTGCTTTCCGCTCTTAACGGAGCTCGTATCGGCAGGGTCTGCAGCTAGGTCTGCTGGGCGTGTAGCAGCCCACCGAGGCGAGCCGACCTCTTCCATCTCACGCATGTTTCGTGGAGTCAGGGTATAGTGGATTGTTTCGTCGCTCATGAGAAGCTCCTCCAGGGCTGTAGATCCAGATCCGCTGCCGTCTGACGAGCAGATGACGGAGACGGACAGGTCTGACGGCTGTCTACTGATCAAGCCCCTGATTCTGTTGGAGCCCTGGGAGACGCCGGAGCCAGAGGTGATGGGTCGACCGTCACGCCTGCTGCCTGCACTCTCTGACCTGCGTAGTTTGCTGGAGTCTCGAGAGATGCTGGACGGCGGAGGTGTGACTCGTTGAACGGCAGCGCGTTCTGACCCCGGAGACACAGGCAAGGCCTGTCTTGTGGAACAGTTGGTGTTGATTTTTGTGAGCCATGCTCTGCTCCGTGGGGTGACGGAGGGTTCACTGTCCCCGGAGTTGATAGAGGCCTGGTCTGGCGACGAACGCTCGTTCTGCACGGGGGTGTTGTCTGCCACCTCGGTCAGGGGGGTGAGGCGAGCTCCGCAGCTGGGAGAGCGGGGGGAACGAGGAGAGCGGGAGACGAAGGAGGTTTCCACGATGTTGTCTCCGAACGGGTTGCTGGTAGGGGATAAGGGGGCGGCGGTTGCTTTACGGCGAGCAGCCTTGCGGGTGGCCTGGTCGTCGTCCGTGAGGGATGAAGAGGAGTAGTATGCAGGGTTACCGTCTGCAATGTCCTCGCAGGTGGTAATGCGTGCAGAGCTGCTGTCTGCAGTCTGCGAAGTTGTAGATTCAGCGGACTCCTTGGAAGACACCCGGGAGGCTTGGGGAATGGTATAGATAGACGAGACAACGCTGTTGTTATCGCCCGTCTCGCTGCTGGGCGGAGAGACGGCCTCTTGCTCCATTGATGAGTTCTGACAGCGAGGAGAGGATATAGAAGCCGGGTGATAGGGGCTGTAGATGGACGCCGAGTCAGGACCAGCCTGCTCCAGTTCTGTTGCTGCTGCGGCTGTCGCCGATGCAGATGCAGATTCTCCGGCCTTGGTATCAGTCTCTGGCTCTTCAGCCTCTGGCATGCTCTCAAGGTGTGATTCGTCTTCCTTGCGAGTCTCTGCTGCGGACGAAGCTGACCGTTTGACACGGGTCGGCGAAGGGGCCAGGGGCGACGTTATATACATCGACTGGGGCAGCGACTTGGAGCGAATATGCGCCCGCTTGGTGCTGGAACGACCCGGCAGCAGCGATGACGATGCCGATGCCGATGATGATGATGCCATAATGACCCGGGGCGAGATGGCGCTGATGCTCCTGGCCAGGACCGGCCTGCCTGCGACGTCCGGGCTCGAGATGAACAGGCTCCGGGGCCGCATGGAGCGCGCGGGCAGGGCGACAGCGAGCTGGGCGCTGAAACCAGGGATCTCAATCTCGTCAATGTCATACTCGCTAATCGGCAGGGGGATGTCAGCCGGGTTGATGTTCACGCAGGTGTTGACGCTCGCAGTGTCTGAAACATGCTGATCGGCGCTCGAGATCTTGCGGCCAAAGGAGAAGCCGTTGAAGGTATCAAAGGTCTCGAAGGTGCCGACGCTGCTGTGCGTGCTCGTCCGCGATGAGCATCCCCGGCGCACCAGCGACTCCCTCGACAGCGTCCGCGACAGGGCCGGAGCCCGCAGGTTCTTGCGCCAGGTGCGCCAGAGGCGGCCCAGGGTCGGGTTGAGGGCGACCTTCTCGACGTCGACGTCGTCCACGACCAGCGTGCCGCCCTGGTACTTGCGCTCGTCGTTCTCGTCGGAGAAGCCCAGGCGGGCGCTGGAGTTCTCGCCGGCGATGATGAGGATGTTCTCTGCGATGTACTCGAGGATGGAGGTCAGGAAGATGGCGGCCGCGGGCGTGAGCATGCCGCCGTGGTTCATAAAGTACGGCCTGCCGTTGGTCTCGCTCAGCCCTTCACGGTGCAGGTACTCTTCCTCATCATCTTCTTCCATGTCGCCGAGCCGGGCGTAGACCATGCAGCGCAGCCGGGTCAGCTTCCACGACCGCTCGAGCTCGAAGTGGCCCTGGCCGGCGGCCTCCTGGGAGTAGCCGTAGCCCGTCAGCTCCTCCTCGTCGCTGGTACCCATGTACTCGCTCAGCTCCTCGTCGGCGACAGAGACGACGGCGCGGGCCAGCCGGGGCTTGAGGACGTCTGAGATGGCCGGGGCGGATGGCCGCCAGCTTGGTCGATTTGGCGGCCAGCAGGATGTTGAACAGGATGTGGTCGAGGAAGCTGTTGACGAGGACAAGCGACGGCGGCGTCACAATGGCATTTCCAGGGCGCCCTTCCTTGGGCTCGAGCGGGTTGACGCCGTGCGAGGCCGATATAAGCTGTGTGGCCGCTGAGATGGCGACGTACTGCGGTGCCGGGTTGACCAGCGGCGGCGAGGGCGCGCTGCTCTGCTGCTGATGCTGGC